AAAATAGTGATTCGTTCCCATCTTTTATGTCAACTGCCAAACAGGATTGTTCTGTCTTCTGTGGTCAGCTGTAAAGTTCTTTTTGTCTGTCAGAGGTCAGTTTTGTTGTTAGCTTTTCCTTTGGCACTTGGAGGGCAGATTATGGTGGCATCCTGAAATGAGGCAGCAGGTGTGATTCTTGCGGATGTCCAAGTCAGTGGAGTGTGTCTCCCCATGGAACTTGAGATGTGCTCCTCCAGAAATTTGAAGTATGGTGCTGTTGTAGGAAGCTTGACAGGTGTCCCATCACCTGCTTCACTGGCAGTGCTGCTAGTGTCAGGTCTGCATGGGCCAGGCTCCTTGGCTGAGCTGTGCCTCGATGGGCAAGTTCTGGCTCTGTGTGCCCCAGGCAGGTCCTGCCGGGGTGCCCGCTGCCCCGAGAGCGTCTCACCTCAGGCTCTGTCAGCAGCTCCCCCAGGCAACCAGACGCCCGTGCCAAGGTGTTGCAATCTTCCACCTCACCAGAAATGACCGGGGTGCAGTCTGTAGCAGCCCAGCAGGGTTTATTGAGGGTCCAGAGAGGAATGGGGAAGGTGGGAAGGCAGGGAGGTGATGGGGCAGGAGCACAGCCGCTGTTGAAGGGAGCCAGGGACAAAGAGCAGGTGGCAAGAAGCAGCCCCGACTGGGGTGGGTTCAGCGTTTATCAGCTGGGGGAAGGTAGGAGGGGCCAGGGTACACTGGGCCAGTGGGGATAAGGGTTGAGGGGGGAGCTGGGGTGGTATGAGCATGAACAACCAATAAACTGCACTGGTCTGTAGTGAACAGACCAGTGAGGCTGGGATACAGAACTTTCCAGACTGAGGGAGTAAATTCTGGGTGATTGACATGTATCAGTTTGCATCTGGGAGTGAAGGACCTTGGAAGTTTTTACACTTTCTCTCCCTAAGTTTAATATAGGAGTCTTCCCAAGGCATCCCTGTTCTGTTACCTTCAGCTCTGATTCCCGCAGTGTGAGACAGCTTGGGTAAACCTCAGTGGTTTTCTGCTTTGGAAAATACCTATTAAATGAAGTTTCTTTCAGCTGTCATCCACCAATCAAGTGGTTTCAAGATGATGTGAGTGTGTCACTGAGGGTACAAATACTGGGGGCAACTGACAGTAAATGTGAGTTCTCTAGAGAAAATGTGAATTTCAGGTAGGTTTAAGACACTTCAGTATAATAAGCAAAATGTCTTTGTTTGGATCTAGAGTTTTTAAACTTAATGTATATTGCAGTGCTTATTCAGAAGGCAAATTTTATGTTGCTGACCTGGAGCTGTATCAGTCAGTAATTGCAAAGAAGTCCACATGTGTGATTACGGATAGAGAGGCTGTGATTGTACTGGTAAAAGAGGAAAAAGGAGAATGGTGCAAATTACTGAAGAACAAGGTGAAGTGAAAATTAATTTGAGAGTTACTGAATGTTCTGAACACATTTGCTGTGCATCAGAATAGGTATTTCAAACAGTGTTTTTGTCAACAGAATGTTCACGTGTCCTTAGATTTTGAACACTGGGAAGAGTCTGAAGATGAAAGGCCTTTTACAGCTGGTAAGGATTGAATGAGTCTGTGTTCATAATACATAAAATGATCAGCATTCTCTCTTTGCATTGGCTTTATCTGAAATACTAATTTATTCCAGCATGTTGCTCAGATTCTCTGAAAAGAGCTGAGGGGACCTCTAGAGCAAAGTAGAGGCAGCAGAGCACTTTGCTATCAGCTCAGCACAGACTAAGGGCAGATAGAAGTGATTCTGAGTGTTGTGGTCTAGTTTGTAGTCAAAAGCGTTGGGGCTTGCTGGGCTGGGTCATTTAATGGTACCATGTATTTGTTCCAAGCTCATTTTTCCTGGTTTATAAATGTTTCACCTTGTTAATCACTTGCAGGTTCTGCAAAACTGAACTGCCTTCCTGCAGGATCTGAGGACTGGTTTGAGTCCTCAGAAGACACGGATACAGAAAGTGATGAATAATGGGGAGGAGAAATTCCTCTCTGATGAGAATTGTACTGTTGTTAAATAGTTGATGTAATTGTTGATTTTTGAGTTGATAGTTGATGTAATTGTGGCTTGTTCTTGTAATTGTTAATTAAATACATTAGTGACTTAAGAACCTGACTGCAACTGTGCTTAATTATAACCTTCACCTGAGAGCAGGTACTGGCAAAGCTGTAAGAACACTTCAGAGCTGATGTAATCTGTATTTTAGTCTTGCTCTGCATCCTGATGACAACAGAAATTACCTACTTCAAAAAATCAGCTGTGGAGAAGATGTTTTCCTTCGCTTGTTCTGTTATTTGGCTTGTTTAATAACTAAACATAATGTAAGGTGTTTGGGTTTTTTCAGGCTGGTAGATTAGGGTTATTTAAGAGGTGTAAGTTACCTCTAGTTTTTGTTCAAAAACCAAGGCCTCTTCTGTTGAAGTAGAAGCAAAAACTAGGTTTAGCATACATACATAAAAAAGCGCTAGTCTGTAAAGAAGAGTGTAAAAAATAACACCACTCTGTCCAAGAACATTGATCAAGCTTGTTTTGATCAGGGTTTTCATGAGGAAGAGCTTTCCTGGGGCCTTGCATAAGTGCAGTTATCCATTTTGGAACATATGTGAGCTTTTACCATTCTCCTGTACTAAGGAATTCAGTGAAATAGTTTTCTTGTGTTTTGAAGCCTTCCCTGATGAGGGCAGGGAGGGCACCCCAATGTCAGTGGGAGGGAAGGGAATGAGAGGGTGGAGGAGCAGGTGAGAGGAGAGGAAGGGGGTGTCATGCAGAGTCTGTTAAAAAAAGGGAGGTTGTGATCCCTGACAGAGGTGTAAAAAAAAAAAAACATAAACTTGCATTTTTATATATAAATTGATTTCAAAGTAGGTCCATCAACTTTGAAAACACAATTACAAATTTTCTACATGCACATGAACCAAAAATTGCTTGAAACTATAAGAAGAAAAGATCCCTCCGTGGTAATTACGTAACTTCGATGAGTTTTTTGAGTCGCCTACGGCCTAAGCGTCAGATGTCTCAAAGGCGGTGCTGCCCCCGTGTGGTGCTGTCCGGTACTGCGGCCGGGCCGGGCCGGGCGGGGCTCCGGGGCTGGGGCGCGGCCCGGGCTGGGAGCGCCGACCCTGGGGCACGGCTCAGGGCTCCGGGCCCTGGGGCACGGGCTCTGGGGCTGGGGCGGGGCACGGCTCAGGGCTCCGGGCCCTGGGGCACGGCCTGCGGGGCTGGGGCGGGGCCCCGGGGCACGGCCTACGCGGCCCCAGGGTCTGGGGCACGGCACGGCACGGTTCAGGGCTCCGGGCCCTGGGGCACGGCCTGCGGGGCTGGGGCGGGGCACGGCTCAGGGCTCCGGGCTCTGGGGCACAGCCTGCGCGGCTCCGGGGCTGGGCCCTGGGGCACGGCACGGCTCAGGGCTCCGGGCCCTGGGGCACGGGCTCCCGGGCTGGGCCCTGGGGCGGGGCACGGCTCAGGGCTCCGGGCACCACGCAGTCCCGGGCAGGGCGGGGACCTCAGTCACCCCCGGGGCCGGCGCTCCCTGAGCCTCCCCTGCTCCAGCCCTGTCGCCACTCGCGTTTCCAGGTCCCGCGGGGCCCGTGGCCCGGCGGGCGGACGTGCTGTCTGTTCTGCCCGCGGGGTGTCCTCATGCCCCCGCCCGGGGCTCGCCTCCGCCCATCGCGGTGCTGCCAAGTGCCCTCCTGCCCCGCCGCGTTCCACCCTGCGCCCTCCAGGACTGTCGCTATTGCCCGACGCATCTGCTGCAGAGAGCAGCCACCAGCTCCCCACTCGCACAGAGATGCTGACCCCTAAGCTCGCCAAGCACGGGGAGTATATTTGCCTGCATGGTCCCTTGCTTGCTGTATGGTCTTATGCCGCTTGCATGTCTCTGATAGCGCACACCTTTCCTAATATCTTTACAAATAATTAGATGGGTGAAGGTATGGGTGTTAACGTCTTTGAAATGGGTCTTAATGTTTCCCTGACTTTGGGCAGTGGGTTTGTTATCAGGTACTGACAGTTTGGCTCCTAAAGTAGGTAAATGGGTCTGTACAAGCCTGAACTTTGGGGTAGAACAGTAAGTTCAAGGAGGAATATGGGATACCTTCCTAGTACCTTGGCCAGTGGGGAAAGGAAGAGAGTAACATGTGGCCAGGAGTTTGGGACAAAGGAAGGTGGTGTGCTCTGAAACCTGGACATGCATGCGGCCTGATAGACTCTCTTCCTTTATTCAAAAAAAGGACTCCTCTGTTTCATTTTTGGACGTAAACCTCTGGCATTTGTGGATTTTCCTGACATCACCAAGCCCCAATTTTTCAAGGTTCCCACTTCCTTGCTTGGTACATCCCAGTTCCCCTTCTAGGAGCCCTCACATCCCCCAGAGCTGTCCCTGTCCCTGTGCTCCCCACTGCGCCGTGCCACGGTCCCTGCCAGTGCACGCGAGGCCTCCTGCCCTGACGCACCCACCAGAGCTGGGCTAGCTCCTAGAATTCGGCCTCAGGATGGGGATTTACCAGAGGCAGAACCTTTGAGCCGCTTGCTCTACGGTGCCACATACAGAAGCAGCAACAGGGACCGGACAGAGGAGAAAGATGGCGGCTCTCTGTCTTGAGGCTCCACAGGGACAAGTTTATTCCAGGAGAAGGGACAAGGCAGAAGAGTCCCGAGCACCTCTGTGGACGAGATTTCATACAGTAACAAACGCGGGGGTGGATACAAACAGCAAGCCAAGAGGGAATCCTCAGTGGAGGAGTGAGGGGGTGACATCCAGCGACTGGGGCCATTTGGGGTAGGAGGGTGGTGTTGCCCTGATTCTTGAGTTTTTCTAAAGCCTTCTGAGTTTACATTCTATTGGGAAAGTTTCCCACACAGTTTCTGTAAATAACATGTTGTATGCATTCCTTCATGGGGGTGGAGAGACTTGATGTACTAGTGGTTTGTCCAATGTCTTTGGAGAGGTGGCCCATTCACTCTCCAATCCAACTGTCACCTTTGGAAAAGTGTAGAAGTTGGAGTCAGAAAATAAACTTCCTCTTTTACCTTGCAAAGTGGCAGGTAGCTCGCGTTGTGCTTTCTCGTGTCCTATAGCGACAGGGTGGAGAGGATGGCTCACATGGGCCCATGTTTGATTTAAGGTGTTAGCCTTTCCTTACTGAATGAGAATAAATATTTTTTTCCCTCTGGGTTTTAAGAGGGACCAAAGGGAGAGTTACTTCCAAAAATAGTCTGTGCTTGTGCAACCTTTAAAAATGAAAAATAGATCTTTTAAGAGTAATGGTTAACAATGTGCTCTCATTACTCATTTCTAAATTGCTTTTCTTGGCACAAACATTTCTATGCTGGACCCCTGTTCCATAGTTGGAGAGAATCCAACCTTTTAACTCTGATCAAACTCATATAACTCTTCACAATTATTCTATCTTTGATGGTAACAAGAAACTCCCAAAGTATGCTAAAAAAAAAATCTCCAAACACACACTTTTGTAGCCCTAAACTGCACACAATATTCAGGGAGTAGCATGTAAAAGTGTTAAAAAGCAGATCTCAGCCCCTCAGCTAAAGATCATATTCCTGAATGTTTTTCACATGATTCATTAGCTCCTAATATCAAGTGTCATCCCTCTGGGTGAAGGACTTGGTAAGGCACTATTTAATTTTTCCTCAATAAAAGTCAGCTGTGTATTTATCTTACAGAAGAATGAGGACCCAGCCCTGTTTCCTGACACAAGAGGGAAGCAGAGATGTCTGTAGGGTGTAAATACTCTGCCAAGCATGGGGGGTGGCAAGAAGCACAGGTAAGAGAAGCAGGGGTTCTTAACTGCAGTGACGTTTATTGTATCATGACAAAAAAGAAGGTATTAAATTCACCTTTTAATGCTATGTGGTTGACATGGAAGCTAAGGTAGACTTGTGATCAATTTTCTTTCCTTTTTTTTTTTTGGTTTGACCACAAAACCAGACAATCCATTCTTCACCCAGCTCTACTAATGAGCTTCTTTTTCTGAGGTTTTGTACCCTGCATAATGAAGAACATCTGTACCTTGAGTAAAGCTTGACATTTCCCTGCCTATTCACCAAAGGCCTTTTTCTCTTCTTTCAATGCAGCACTATAAACTCAGTGCCTGGGAAAGAAACCTGGTGGAGTCTCCTGGACATTCTATTCTGATCACCTTCCATCAATATTTCAGCATAATTACCCAATTCATATGGTAATCATTTCCTTCTAATCAGTGTTTCCTATGTAACCTTGTTTATTCACTCCTACTTATTCCCACTTGCCAAGAAAGCCAAATGAGACTTTTGGGGGCATCTGTCTTCCGTGACACTGAGAACAGATTAATCATGCTGACAGCATGCTAACAAAAGGATGGTTTTCATTAATTAGCACTTATAAATAATTTGTTAAAGGTCACAGGGTGCTTAATGTATTCCTTAGTAAACAGTTACTACATGGACCAGCCAACCAATAAACTGCTTATACCTAGAGAAAGCTTTTCTGTTGGGCTTAGAGTACTTCTCAACCTTTCTGAAAACCAAGGGTCACCTACTATCCTGAGCAAAATGCTGATTGCCTAGTCTTGTGGAATTGGAGTATCTTGTACCTCATTGCCATAAAATCTTTTATATGAGGTTATTACATTTTTATTATTCATAGTAACGTATCTCTTTTTATTTTGTCATAATTGTTTGGTCATGTGCATAGGATTGATTTTTTAAAAGGGGAGTGACCATTTTGCAGCTTGCTTGGTGGTGTCTGGCAAACCATCAGAGTTCAGGTTGAGTTATAGTGATTTATGGTATGCACTGCTCAGGTAGGGTGCTATTAGCAACTTCTTCATTAAGTCTTCCTAGAAGTGCCCTCATGGACTTAGGCTGTAGTCATTAATATTACTGAACATGTGAGCAGGTACAGTTCTGACATTCTGAAACTGTCTGATTTTATTTTAACACTAGCAGAATTTCGAGTTTCCTGGGGCATCTAATGAAGACTGAAAAATCTGGATTTAAAATTTTGAAAAAAATGCATCAAAGCTTTTTTCTGGTGGGCAAGGACTACATCAAGTCTCCTAACACCCCTGGTATATTAGCAAAATCCAGTAGATGCTACTTAATTACCATGTATTAGCAAATATATTTAATATTTTTTAATATCTAAAAATATAATGCTGTGCAGGTAAAATTCTGAGAAGGTTTATATGTTTACAAAATTTCTATGAGCCCATTGTCTTTTGTCACAGTGTTTCTACAGCAGTGGATAGAAAGGGAAGCTGAAGATGTTTTCTTCATTACCTGTCTGATCTCAAGAGCTCCATGTGCATTCCAGGATTCTGCAGTGTAATCAGGGCTGATCCCAAGAACTCAGCTGGATTCTCCACGAGAACCATCCACTGTCATAGGGTTGTTTTTATTGCTGGTCTGAAGTTGATAAATGTTTTCTTACAGGATCACCCAGAAAGTGATTTTTAAAAATGAGATTTTTATGTGATAGATTCATACCTTGTAGGGAAACTCCATGAAGTGGCTTGGATACACCAGCAAAACAGCCTATGAAAATGTAGTCCTGTGCCAGTAATACAAGGTGTGGAATTTGTGGTAAATTTTCACTTTGACTGTTGCTGTAGGAATATGCTGAGATACTTCAGACAAATCAGAGGTTAAGAAGCCATACAGACTTTTAATCATATACAAATATAGGTAACAAAAATTTTTACCCCAACCATATCAAATGTTGGTAGATTTTGAAAGAAATTTGCATATATTTGGGCCCTTTTGGCTGCTCTATTTTAACTCAGGAATAAATAAGAGAATTCAGAATCAGGTTATTTTACAAATATATTAAGTGATGGAAAATGGTTTTAAACACAGCACATTGCAGATGCCTTGAGTAGTTAGATCTTATAGAGCTTCTAGGCTGTATTATGCAGCAGGGATCCAAATTTTATCCTGTGGCCTGTAAGGACAATATTAGAAAAAAGTACCTTTTATGAATCCTCAAGAAAAGTCCTTGAACAGAATGGCCTTCACATGGGTGCATAAGCTGTCAAAAATACTATAACAATTAAATAATGGTAATTGCAGATTTATTGCATTATTTAAGAAAATCTTGCATGTTTAATGGGTAAGGAATAGGAATTATCCTCCAAGTAGCAATATATTTAAATATTTAAACAAAATGAGAGAAACTGCTATTTATGACATGAAGGCAAACCTCTATTGTGAAGTTCTGAACAGCCAAAAGCAAACAGAATGTTTTATTTTGTTTTCAAATGCCAGGTGTTAAATTGGAGCATTTGTATGTGCTCTGGCCACACTCTGCTGTTCCCCTGGGGTGTGCTGCCCTTCCCATGGGAGAGGAGGGAATGCTGTGGCAGAAAGGAGCTCCTGGCTCCCTCCCAGAGCTTCAGGAGCTCCCTGTGAATGGCAGAGCCTGTCTGAGCCTGCTGGAGACAAGGCTTAGCAAAGCCTCACCCAGCAGAGTCTGATCTAGTCCCAGGCTGGTTTCTTCTATGGGAATGTTCCAAATGACATCTAATATTTAACCATAACTGAGACATTTAGAGGCGAACATGTCTAGACTAACTGATGTTTTAAACCATTTTTCTAGGAGTGTATCACTGTGAACTGCATGTAGTTAAATAATTACATCAGATTTTTCTGTTTCATTCAGCATTCTTAACCCATAGGTAAAACTCTTGGCCACCGATTATTTCAGTTAGACTCTGTAAAGGATGATGGTTGTTTTTCACAGGAGCTCACATAATCCCAAATTCCCTCTTAAACTTCAGAACAGAGAGGATCCCTACTGCTCATACTGGAAAGCGTTACCATGCAGTAATATTTTCTAATTAAAGTACAGAAACAGGAGGTGAAATCCAGCAACTCAAACTGAAGTAATATGCCAAAATATGATACAATGTAGGCCAAAACATAATATATATTCCTGTACATAATGACAGTACTCACTAAACATTTTTAGCATACAAGTAGAAAATAAATTAACAGAGAAAACTTGTGTTTCAGGAAAGAGTGAGTTCAAGGCAGGAGAGGGATAGTTTTAACTCACCACCCTCTAAGAGGGAGGGGTTACTAAGCAAAAGTGTGTGTTGATAACCCAAAACATGGCCGTGTTCTTTTGTATGTGATTACGGGATCAGGAATTCACAAACGTATCGCTTGGCAGTGCGGCACACTTCATCCACCCACTTGCCCTGGGCTGACTGCGACAGGAGGACACAGTTTTCCCTCTTGCCCCCGTTGGGCTGGGCACGGTCCCAGTTGGAGTACTGCAGAGCCATGCCATTGACATCCACAAACCTCCCTTCATGGACCATGTCAGTGACACCCAGCCAAAACTCGGCCGCGCTGGCCGCGCTTTTCTTGCCGTAATCGCGAAGGACGTTCGTTTCCTCGCTGTTCCTCGGGATCGCCAACGTCCCCCCTTTGGCTATGCAGTCCTCGTTGGCTTCATGGAAATGCTTGGTGCCTTCTGACATGAGGTAGCACTTCTTGTGGGCCTTGGTCCCACGAAGACACACTGTGAACAGACAGGAGTTCGCACCTTCAGTACAAGTGTGGGCCTCAGCTTTCAGTAATGGCTCTCCAAATGATAATTTAACAAAAGCACCTTGAAACTTGAGCAGGCACATCCTTCAGCAAGTGAAAGGCTCTTGACTCCACAGAGCGGGCCTGAAATTTGGAGCAAGATCAGACTTACCTGCTGGTGGTCCATGTAGGACCCTGTGTGCAGCCAGCATGTCAGTGTGCCTTTGGAAACAGACTGCTGAAATATAACCCAGGCCTGTTCTCAGTGCCCCTTTTACCAAATAGTACTGCTTTCAGCAGTCCTGAAACAGATGGAATGGATGTGGTTTGTTTTGTTGGTTATTGGGAATCTGTATTTGGCTTTATAGTGGAGACATCTAAATGTCTTTTAATACTGGTGATATTTAAGTAAAGAAAATTTTTGCATCTAATCTAAGCTCAGTTTCTAGCAAGCAAAGGCAGGACAGAAATGTGCTGTATTAAATGTGTCCTGCTCACCAGGAAAATACTGATTTGAAATTTGTAATACAAATCTATGAGTGATTACTAAAATCTGTAGAGGATTGCCTATTCACCTCCCTTGGCATTAATTTATTTTCTTTCCAGAAAAGTCTCCCCCTTCAAACTCTAAATCCAAATAAGGTAAAGTGACTTAAATCTATAAGTGCTTTTAAAAAGTGCACACTTATTACTGAGCTTACAGGACAACCTGGACCAAATCTTCTAACCATTTTAATTTAAAAATCTGTTTCCTTTTACTTCTGCTGGGGAAGTCTTGATGTAAAGTCTGAATGGACTAATTTGGCAGCTGCTCTGTCACTGGAATTGCCTTGCAGAGCTGCTGCTGGGTTGTTCCAGCCTGAGGTCTGTGGGGGCAGGAACACAGGAGGGAATCCTTAAACTTTGCCTTCCAGCTCTCCCAATGCAGATTTGTGAAAAACTGATTCTCCCAAGAAAAATAACGATGGCAAGGTGAACCCTCCTTGGTGGAGTGTTTCTTCTGAGCTGAGGAAGGTACCAAAGGCCTGGAATAGACTCCTGTAACAATTATTTTTAGAATCCTGCATGTTATTACTTGCAGATTATTCCATTTATTCCTTAAAATCATCTTGTACTTATGTACATCTTCTGTCCTGATATTTTCTATAATCTGTTTTTAATCCCTCATCTGTTCTTGTAAAAAAATAATTATGTCTCTGATCAATAGGATATCAAAGTCACTTTGGACCACATCCTATGTCTCAAGTTTTTAGTATTTCCAGTTGTCGTATTCACTGCATTCCTTAGCTGCATTTTCAGAGTCATAATTTTCTATTAGGGTTTACTCTTCAAATTTTAATCCTTCCAATGGCCAAAGTAATGAACCTGTTTATTAAATGTGGAACTCTTTAACAAATTCATATTCATGGGAAGGATCAGAGAGACTTCAGCAGTGCTGCAGCAATGGTAAGGACTGGATGTATTTAGGGAAGAAGTATGTGCTGCAAAATGGTGTGTGGCAGCATTTCCCATTTCACTCTGTGTAGAGAGGAGGCCCAGGAAGTTCAAGCAAAAGAAGAAATCAGATTTTTATGGTGTGTCTTGGAAACGTCCATAAGGTAAAAATAGAGCTCCTTTTTTCACTTGTTACAAGGACATTAACAAAGACAGTCAGAGCTAGGGGTTTGATAGGTGTCCTTTTGCCACATTTGGATTCCAGTTGCACATGTGGGTTATAAATTTAGAATAAAGCTCAAAATAAGTCTTGAGGAGAGAAAGTCTCCCAGTTCTGGTTTCATTTCTAAGCCACTGTATGCTTCCTCTCAAGCTCCTTCTGGAAGCAATACAAGAATTACTTTAAAACAAGAGTTACTTGTCTAGCACAGGCTCCCTCTTTTAAGAAACTTCTAAAGCCTTCTTATAAGACATTTGAAATAAAAATATTTTGTAAAGCCCCAAAAGCTCTATGTAACCCAAGACATAAAACTGAACAACCCAGATATTACCATGCCTAAGGAAAATACATTCTGTTTCATGAGAATGATGTCATTTCCTCTGTAATGTCCTCTTGTACATGTTTAAATGCCAGGTTTTATGTCAACAGCTGTGAAAAAGCACAACTGTCTAGTAGGTGCATGTGTATTTACCCTTCTTATTTTGTTTGGAAATTTCCATCTGGTTATTGAAATACTTAAAGGACTCTGCAGTTGGTCCAGAATATTTCTGAACTCACAGTGGATATAACTGCAGTTTTATGACAACATTCACATTTGAATATATGTTCATATCAAAGCTGGGCACATATCTCGCTGACCACCTGAACTCTCAGACCCAGGAGCCCTCATTGTGCTGCCTTTGGTGATACAAAACTCAGAGTTTGAAGTTGTGCATAGCAAAGACAAAAGGAGTTCTTGCTCTCAGTGAAGAATCACCACTCATTCCCCAGCAGCTGAGACCTGATTTTACTTGAATGCTTCCTTCAGCATTTGCCTGTCTGGTAAAGCCATGGCACACCATGGTTTTATGGAGCTGTACTCTTCAGTCATAAAATCCCATTAAAGAGAGGGATGGGAGTGAAGAAGAGAGGCAGTGGGAACTGCCTAAGCTAACTGCATAAGCTGCTTTACCTGTCTGCAGTGCTTGTATTTCCTTCAGAGCATTTACTTCTCGCCACAATTTGTCAATCTGGGTCTTCAGGTCATCTTTTTCTGACACAAAAAGAATATATAGAAATTAAAAAATATGTACACAGTAAAAAAAATTAAAATGACATATTAAAATCTGTTTCAAAATATCATGCTGATATTGCTGCATGGCTGAAATGCTTTTTATTTTTAAAGATTTCTTCTTAATGAAAACATTCCTCTAGAATTTCTATAAAAAACACAAGGGACCCATCTTTACCTTTCCTTCTCATATTTATCATGGATGTTGCCCTAAAAACTTTTTGAAATTCATGGATTGTTGCAGCTAATAATTACTTAGTGAGCTGGTATCTAATTTACAGAAAAAGTCCCTTTTTCTTTTGCAACTGCACACTCTGGTGTATGGGCATGACATACAAAACATAACAGGACACAAGTTGTATTTCTTCAAAGAAATGTTATTTCTGTGAGTGTGAAAGTTTCACACAGCTCTTGTTTTAGCACAGGGAGTAACAACAAATGAAACCTGACCTGACAGCCTGAATGTTGCAGATGTGCTTGCTGAGCTGCAGTCTCTATTCCCCAGGATTAGCCTTCCTCTGTCCCTCAGTACAGAGAGGGCCTGGGGACTTGAGTCACACAAAATCACTCTGAATCAGCATTTTGTAGCACTTAAAAAAGCACCAAGAATATGATAGGACAAGAAAAGAAGCTAATTTGCACATAACTCCATTTTCATGTCCTCTTTTCCTTTTTTTTTTAAAAAATCATCATAGTGTCTTGTAGGGCTCCCTGCTTCCCCAAGGCAAAATTCTCTGTTCTCCAATCAGTGCTACTCTGTACTAACACAAAAAATTTATAAGCAGCCTGTCCTTAGGACACCTAAGCTTAAAACCCTAGAGACCCCAAAGCAGAAGGAAGTGTTTAAAACTGTGAGGCTCCAGAGCAGCTCAATCTTCTTGTACAATTAAAGCCACAGTTTTTTTAATTAAATAGGAGTTCAAATACTCTCCATCAGTGAACCTCCATCATACCTGCTTTTATTAGAAATGAGTCTTTAAATTGAATACACAGACATTTCTAAACAACATTCAGTGGTTTTGTATTTACTCTTAAGCTTTGCTGTGGGAACTAATGCTTTATCTTCTGCTAATTCATTGATGTTGACCTGCTAATTAGTTTGACTTGCTCTTTTCACAGTGCTTTTCATACAAGTGGAGTAATATTCCACAAAGAGTAGACAGGCATTCTGTTAAAATTAGGAAATGGTACAAAAATCTGAACAGTAATCCGTGCAGCCTGAATACTTCTGCTTGTTTCCCCCATATATATAAATTTCCATTTTTCTGATTTTAGTCAATATATCTACATAACTAGGAATGATCAGCCAGAGTCCTCTCTCAGCTGTACCTGTGAATTCTAAATAATGTTGACAGAGTGAACAGCCAGAACAAAGCAATATATTTGCAGCTGTTACACAGCTCCATTTTCATAATTCATTCTGGCACCTTATTTGTGGCTTTGCTAACTCACATAAAAATATTTAAAAGACAGATATGATATAGACTCAAGTGTCCTTTATAAATAAACATTTGTGTAATGTTAGTTTTGGTTCATGCAGTGCTGTTTAGAGTACCCAGTAAATTTGCACAGTCTATAGGGTTCGCTCCCTCCTCCCAGTTCTGACCCAGTACCTTTCACTCTACGTTTGCTGTGCTTCCTGGCTTTGAATTTGGAGGCCTGGCTGATGGTCTGATCCAGCAGTAGTAAGCTTATGAGTAGAAAAATCCTAAGTCCAGTTTGTGCCATGTCTCTTTGAAAGACCCTAAGAGGGAGCTTGAAGAGATTCCCTCTAGCAGCTCTGAGAGAGGCCACCCAGAGCCATCTCAGCAGGGGCTGCCTGAGCTCAGCTTTATAGGGCGTGCTGGGCTGGACTCCTGCTTACGGAATGTGTTCAGTGCTTGAGCTGCCTGTAGCATAAGACACCCCCTTGTTCTCACACCCCATCTGAAAGTGCAGTTTCCATTCTGAGCTCAGCTGTCCCAGCCCTGAACACTGCCCTGACTGAGCGCCACAGCTCTGATTTAACACTGGAGCCAAAACCTGGGCAGAGCCAGGCGGGTGCTTGTGCTTTGCCAGCCTCCAGGAGGGGCAGCCAGAGGATTTCCACAAGTGCCAGAGGCTCGCCCAGCGTGGCTCTGCCCCAGGCTGGTTAAGTCATGACAGTGCCATCACCTTCCACTGAAGCACAACCAGGATGCTGCTTCCTCAAGAAACGCAAGCACTGCAACTAGAGACCCACACAGAGGATAAATACATTAAAATCTCATTATGAGAGGAATGCATTCATTGATTTAAGAAGAGTTAATAAATGATTGATAGTTATGACTGCATTTCTGGTTGAGAATAGAAATCAGCAGGGTCTACTCAGGGGAACAAAAAGTAGCAGTGCTCTCCCAAAGGTTCCCAAGTTCTGATTGTAAAGTCAGAGGAAGAGTGCTTGAAGCAGGACGGTGTCTCCCTGGAATCTGGAGAAGTCTCTGAATTTGAATTTCTTTCATTTGCCTTTAGGCTCTGTGGACTTCTGTGGGGTTGCCTTTAGTTGGGATTGCTACGTGAAGTAGAACCTCTCCCTCATTTTGGTGAATGAATGAAATTGCCACAAAAATATTCCCATCCATCGCCCTTTTTATTTTTTCTTTTTCCCACATTAAAAGAGGGTTTGATTAAATGTGGACCCCAGAGCCATTGCTAGGTGCTGGCGGGTGCAGTTCTTGTCCTTCAGAGCTGTTTTTCCTGACATCCCTTTGCCCTCTCTGCCTTGATTACATTTTGTTCACATTGCTGCCTCTTATTTATTTATTTATTTATTTATTTATTTTAAATCAGGACTGTAAGATCAAGGGATGTACTACTTTATTTTCAAAAAGCTGGGATTTAGGAATATGCTGGTGTACAGCATGAATACTTGCTGGCTTTTTCCAACCCCCACTAAGGCACTCCAATACTTTCAGTGCAAACCACACCTGCCCTGTCTGTCCTGGACACCTTTAAACAATTCCCTGTATTCTCATAGTCCGTTACTAGCAAATATCTCATAACCATTAGCTAAGAAACTTTCCATAAATGCATCCTGATATGATCAAACTTAATTCCAGTGGTCCTGCTCCAAAATATTGAAGTATTTACATCAATTGTGTAGGGAAACATCTGGATCAACATTGCTCAGTCCTCAGAGCTGTTTTGGAGCACAGAACACCAGAGATGGCTGTTGTGGGTCCCACCCACCCAAAACATCTCACACAGCTGCAAATTTCAGTCCATGGTAAATGTAAAAAGGGCTGGCATTCCCTGGTAAATATGGAAAAGGCTGGCACACCAGAACTGAAATGTGAGTTGGCAGAGAGGAAAATCAGGAGCTTTGCAAGGGTCTAGTTCAAGATTTAATCTGTCCTTTAGAACAAGCCCTAAGTTAAGTTTGATCCATACTTTATCCCAATGGTATTGGGACATCAGTATAAGTTAATTAAGGGCAGATGGCTGAATCAATAACTGCCTCCAGTTAGTTTTTCACTTGGTGCCTTCTCAGATCTTGGGGAATTGCACATGAAGCTGATCCTGAACCGCTGCAGCTTTCAGCCTGACAAATTAAACTGTGCTAATTTCATGTTGCCTTGATAAGGGAGCTGCAAACCCCTGGAGCTGTTTCATGTGGAGCTTCACTGTCCCCCAGGCTTCAGGAGAGGCTGGAGCAGTAGCTGGGTCAACAGAACCTTTAGTGTGTGTGTTCAAGGTCTCAGTACCAGAATGGATTTGTTCCTGTCCCAAGGAACCTGAGCTTGCTAACACAGGCTCCTTTTCTTCCTGTGAACCGAGTCTGACAGAGAAAGATTTGTACTCCACTGGGGCAGCACACAAGTCACT